TCATCAATTCTGGATTTACTATTGAAATATTTTTAGATTATGAAAACTAATTTCCTTTGCTTTACACCTAAGTTTTATTAACAACTTTAGTTTGAAGCAAAAGCTGCCCATTGTATGACATTGTGTAAACTCATGAATGATGTATTTTTAAATCAGTTTCTAGAACACCCTGGTCTTTGTCTTCCATAAACTCCACAAACCCTCCTTGGAAGAAAATGACATTTAGAGATCATAGTTGTCTAAGAGGGCCGTGTAGGGGTAAGGGAAATTGTGTGAATGGGGAGTCTGGTGAGGGCCCTGGTAGACCAGAAAGCTCACCTCTCAACCACAATGAGGTAGCTGCTTCTTGGTCCCAGCCAGTTGTTGCCAGGTGTGAACGCAGGACTTGTGCTGCCAGATCTTCCTCCTCTTCTTTTGAAAGAGAAGCCAGAAATCCAGATTTTTATGTGAAATCTCCTGATTTTGAGATCTTGGCAACGTTCTCGAATATTTTAAAAACTGTGTGGTCCAAACAAAACTCCTCTGCAGGCTATATTCAGCCCACTGGCTGCCAGATAGAAACCTCTGTCTTAGATAATGTTTTAATGGATGAAGATAATGGTTTCATTGCATGTGATCATTCGTCTTGGGAATTCCCCATTGGGATGAACTGAATTCTTCCGTTTTTTTTCTTGTAATTAAAAACAAAGTTTTATAAATATTTCTGGTGCTGGTAGTTTTGATGTATAGATTTTCTCCTTATGACCCGTATCTAAAGAATCAAGTGTGTGATCAAGACAAAAAATACTCAAATGACTTAAATAAAGGTGGAAATGGAAGAATTTTAGAATTACAAGGGAAGAAAAGAAGATTTCTAGATCCTGAAAAACATCTCTTGATTTGTGTAACTGATGTAGATGAAGAGCTGAATTCAACTATAAAAGCTTTTCATCTCACCTTTAAGCAGTGGATTCTTGGCCCTGAATCTTTGTGGGATTGCTGTAATTTACCAGGCAATTGATTATGATGTCATGAGGAGGAGATGGACCACAAGGGGAAAACTTCCCCATACCAATTCGTGCAAGGCCAATATTTTATGCCTGCTTCAAGAAAACATCATTTATATTGTATAAGATGAGGTTTTCAATGTCTGTGTATATTTTTTGAAGGGGCTCTTTAAAAGAAATAATCTATTCATAATTGAAATTCTCCAGGCAAATCAGATATCAACATTTTCAACAGAACGGGTAATTAATTGGTTTGAATTTCAAATTGAAGGTCATCCTGTTATTGATTTTCGTGGGAACAGGAAACAAGAACATCTTGTTAAAATGATATCTGCAAATGGGGCCTCGGTGTGCCTAGGTTCTGTCTAGGGTCTTGTGGAATAAAGTCACTGGACAGTGTCAGGAACCAATCAGAAGGGAGCCGTCTCTGTTGCACACATAACAAGCTGTTGGTTTGCTTCCAAAACTGCAAAGAAGAGCTGAACTGGAGAAAAGACCAGAGATTAACAGTTTGTGTTAGAGTAAAATCGGGTATTCCAAATCAAGTGCTGGGGCAGTTATAAGGAAGCATCAGTAAGCAAGTGTGTCAGCTTGATGCCAGTATGCCATGTTCCAGAAGTTAGCATCAACACAGCTGTGACTTAACACTTTCAGAAGCCTTTCAACTGGGACTTAGATAAAATATCCTTAATACAGGAGAGGGAAGCACTGAAGGAAAGGGAGTGGTGAAGAATGAAGGATGAAAGAATATACCCTTTGAGATGCCATTAATTTTTATAAAATAATATTTGTTTCTTGTGTTTGATAGAGAGTTTTATTGTTCCATGTGCCAGGCTGTTTTAAAGCAGCCATTTCTCTCTCTGCTGTGTTTATACTTTCTGAGGATGGGATAATGTGAAGGTAACACGGACTAAGTGGGTGGCAAACATTATGCCTTTCCAAACTGGTGTAAGGATTTTAATTTTAGCTTTGCTAACCAAGTTGAGAATGCCATGCAGCCTCTTCTTATGGTTAAACTGAGATTCTTAATAATAATTAGTAATAATAATAAAGGGCAAACCCTCTGTTCTGAATACCCTGGAGCTGTTAATGCAGTTGTATCCAAGTTGACATACCTTTGTATAGGCATGACAGTGGCACCAGCCATCTACATTAATCCTTAACATTCCACAGAACCATTTCAAGTTTATTATGAACTTCAAAGGCTGTTCATCCCTAACAGAATATCAAGTTTAAGCTTGTCACTTTGCCACAGTCACAGTAAACTCTCTTGACTCAAACGGCACCTTTTCCTAGGCATCTGTTCTATAGGTAGGTGATCCTTGAAATTCTCATTTTAGATTAGAGTCATTTTTCTGGCCCACAGTTACTGCCCTCTTGGATTCTACAGACGCAAACTGATGGCAGTGGTTGGAAACCACCCCCACATAAAAGCAGCACGGGTCACTGTTTGTTTAAAGGTCTGGGATGATGTTAACATATTTTCTGTGCTTTTTGCTTAGAGCTCAAGTCATTGATTCCATTTTACTCATTCTCAGTTGGATTTTCTTTGCAACCCTTAAAAATGTAAGCTGAGAGAAGGAAAAGCATATGTCAAATTGTTAATGCCATTCTAATAAAGTGAGTGTTTCTCACCTTAGAAGGCTGATGATTTGAGAAAGCCCTGTCTCTTGTACAGGTACACTGGTACACTTCTTCACTTCTTAAGGAGTGGAAGTCCCTATGTCCTGAGTGAAAACACTACCCTTTTGGAAGCTCCTGATCTTTAGTTCCTACCTTAGTTAATAAACCATCCCTGTCTGTGCCTTGCATCTCAGAGATGGGACTTGACGGACCAGTCAGCATTGCAAAGGTCACCCTAAAGCTATTGGCAGAATACACTGCCCTTTGTTGCTCAGTGATGATAATGCTACTGTAGCAGTTAACTGGATGTATTAGATTGAGCTACTTTTCCAGAATACCAAATTACCTATTTACTTCTTTTAAACACCTGATAGAATGCCCATTCACAAGCTGTCTCAAGTGTGTTTTCAAAGGGATCTCATTGATACTTGAAATATCAGGGTTTTGGCCACAGGAGGGATTATCTATGCAGAGTGTGTATCTATTATGTTCTGTTGTTTCTGTGAATGTACTTACAAAGGATACACATATTTTAGAATTTCACTGTTGTCCAAAAATAGGAATGTTCTAATAAGTTTGAAAATTCAAGTTCTTTTTGAAAAGCTTTCTTACTTGCAGGTTGTCTCTTGTTATAGCCACAATAATTTAAAATAACTTTGAATTGCATTTTTAAGGAAAAATGAACACAAAGTTTCATCTAGTTTCCTACATATAGATTTAAAATGTAGAAATAGCCTTTTTGACTGTAGATTATAACTACGCAGAGTGCAAAATGGGTTTCACCAGTATCCTTTTGTATCTTCAGGTTTATTTCACATTTTACTTAATACAAAATTCATATTCAGGATTGTAGAGGAACAGCTAATAAATGATCATGCTACTCATTTGAATGAAGCAAGGGAACTGCACTTACAGTAGTTTGGTACTTTGTATTCTTACACTGATTTTGTGGCACTTGTATGCCCTTGACATATTTGTTTGTACACAGATAGTGTCTGTACCTTGGGTTTCACCTACATAAAAATGAATGAGGATCCAAAGTGTTAAGGTGCTTGTGACTTTCACTAACTACTTTCACTTACACATTTATTCAGACTAACTACTTCCTGAAATTTGGATTTGCCAGGTACTCTTCCCTCCTCTACTTCTGTTTTGTCCTAATCAGATGGGGTAAGTAGTATGGGTGTTTAAATTTACTTCTTTGCTTTCAAAATGAGTAAGCAAAGACTAGAGGAGATCCCTTTAACTTAGTGTTTAGTATCTATGAATAGAGCACATTGTGTCCTGCCTTTTTTAATGCATCCATTCAGTTGCTTTTTTGATTTTGAGCTAAACATGCTCATTTAAAGTAGAATATTTCTCTCTTGCACCCTCTCTTTCTCCAAATTAATAGAATGAAATTCATGATTGAATAGTTTTTGTTACAGTAATTCAATAAGCAAAGGGAAGTAATGAAAATGCTTTAAAATAGAATAGTTAAGTTCAGACACTGAACAATATTTGAGAACAAGATACAGTGACAGAATTTTGTAGGTTCTTCATGACTTAAATGTTTGGTGAAAGGACTTGTTTTCTTTCACCTTCAAGTATATTTATCTTAGACTAATAATCACTTCATGCTGTTCATTTTTTTTTTTTCTAGTTGACCCATTCTCCAGACCTTTAAAAAAACTTTTTTAAGTAGATGTAGATTCCATTTTAATTAGATCAGTGCAATCTAATACTGCAACCAGCTAGGAAGGGAAGAAACATGCTGGAAGTTCATACAACCCAAATCACCCATAGCCAGATAATTCCCCTGGTCTTGGAGCAGCCCCCTTCCCCACCTCCACAATTAAATGGCCCTGTTGTTCTGGAGTTTCAACAAGACATTTAAGGTTCATTTTAAAAAATGATCATCCTTTACAGGATTCTTTGCTCTTGCATTTCTCTTTCTTTCTTCCTCTTGCCACACAGCTGTCACTGGTATAGGAGAAAGAGTAGGGGGAGGGGAGGCCGAGGAAGCCCTGTTCAAATCGTGTCACGTAGCACTAATTCATCTGCTCTCATTAGAGGGAGCGAGGGACAGCAGTGATGGCCAAGAGCTGCACTCCACACATGACACGCGAACAGTTTGGGGAATAGAAAATTGCTTTCTCAGGAAGCCCAGCCAATTAAGGACTTGACCATATTGAATGTCAAGTGTTAATTTAGGTTTTTCTTCATTTTCCCAGTAGTAATGCGGGTCCTGTGATGAGCAAATACATGTCAAGTAAAAGTTGATTGCATGAAGGACCTGGGTATTATATGTCACTGACAAGTCACAAATGTACTGAAGTCTTTTAACCCCTTAGGTGAGTGTGGTGGGGGAGAGGGTGGGAGGAAGGGGATTATTGGTACCATAATGATAAGAATAGGTAGTTTATATGGGGGGTGGGGCTTAGATGGGACAGACAGGAATGGTAATTCATGCAAAAACTGGGGATAGGATGGACCCTACTCTGAGGACATAAACAGAGGACCTGGAAAAACACACAGATACACAATTCTTCCCCACTGCAAACATACTGCTGGAAATGTATGTTCTGTCCCCTAAGATTTTATGATAAATTAAAGGAGCAAACTCTGTGGTTTTTGAGCCAGGAAATTCCTGATCAATTACCTTCTTTGAAAGAAAAAAATTCATTAAATAATTATACTATTTTGGATACTTTGACCCTTTGGTTCAGTGCAGCTGTAAAGTTTCTGACTTTTAATTTCAATTTCTAATCAAGTATTCATTTTATAAAAAGACTCCATGTAATACCGTGTCACAAGGAAAGATGCAATGCATATTGAAAGAATGTTCGTTTTCTGTCATAAGTGTCTCTGTAAGATGGTGTTTAGCCAATAGAAGCTGGTGGAAGGTCCATCATTGTGGCTCATTTTTTTATGCCTAGTCCTGGAAGGAAAGAGATTCAGGCTTCAGTGAGTGAGGTAACTTTGCCTTTTTGTTCAAGTAAATGTTGAAGTTGCCCATCATGTATAGCATCTCATTTCCATTCATCAGCATTCATTTACATATGAATGTCTTGAAAATAAGAGAATGTCTGTTTCTGTTGCAGTTGTACAAGTAGCCCCCGCAGTTTGCACTACTGCTGCGTGCAGTCTATGCAGGCTTAGAGGAGTTACTCAGGGTTTGGGCTTTTTTCTTTCTTTTATAATTAGCACCGTTTTCCCCTTTCTATCTTTGGAGATATGATCCTAATTAAACACTTTATTTAAACATATTCTCTTCTGTTTACTGCACAATTTAAACACACTTGCCTATGTGTGTTGACATCGTTTACCTTCTGAAAACTAGTCTGACAATGCTTTAATTTCCAGAGCAAAAATTACTAGCAGAGTCTGTCTCTTAAGGTTAGAGACTGTGTTATTATTATTTTAAAAGTTAACTAAATTTACATTAAGGAATAATTAGAAAATAATTCCAAGAATTTTATGTTTAATACAAAATATTTTTCTTAAGGAAAAAAAAAACAGTTCTTACTAGGCCCTTGAATGCTGAGATGGAATATCAGTTCTTTAACATTTCCCCTCCTTGTATCAAAGTGAACTAAAGTAAGCCAAGCGCTGGTCATCTCCCTGTTTTGATAAGCTCTGTCTGTGGAACTGGAGTGGCATTGGGAGAGTACTGTTTAATTACAATCCCAGTTGTCAGCAGCTTCTCTTCCACTGGGTGCACCAAGAGACTTAAGTAAGTTTCTGTAAAGTAAATTCTGATATGGCAGCTCGGGTTGCTGATTCAAGTTATTCCTCCTCTTCTGTGTCACTTTTGACAGATGACACCTCCTGCAATCAACTCCAGGCAGAGCAAGCCTTTCCTTCGGTCGCTTTAAGAAGTGGAGCAGGGGTTCCCCTCCTCTCTTGATCTTCCCTTTAGGCCCTCACTCCTGCCTGCTGCTCCCCACCAGGACTTCAACCCATAGAAAAGCAGGAGGAACCACAGTGCTACCTGGGATGGGCTTTTCCTAAGCCTCTATTTCCCAGTGGTGGAGCCGATCTGCCTCCCTTGGCGTGCGTGCTTGATAAATTTAAGAAGTCAAATCGCTGACACAGATAGATAATCCAAGTGTATAGGGTGAAGAGTTATAAATTAACACATTATTCCCTCTTAATGTGAAATACTTGAGAATGCATTTTCTCAGTCCCCTGACATCTACCCAGTGAGCGCTAGCATTGTGCTTTTCAAGTGGCATTGATTTGTTAAAGCGCTGAATTAGCATCTCGGCCAGCTGCCTGACGCACTGTGGTGGTGTCCAGGGCTCCCATCCCTCCTCTGGCCCCAGCCGCCCCCTCTGGGCTACAGGCTTCCTCCTCTTCTGCCCTCCCAGGCCTCCCAGGCTTCTCCCCGTCTCATTCTCATTCTGTTTGCTGTGCCCCCTCCCTGCTGCCCCTCTAATCGGTTTCCTTCTCATTCCATCTCACTTCCTTCCTTCTCCCTTTTTTCCTGGCTCCTCCTTTCTTATCTCTTTGCCCCTGAGGTTTCCCCTCAGACAGGGTTGCCCTCTGTTAACTGTGTGCCCCCTCCCCAACCCCCTCCCTTCTTCCTCCTTCTTCCTCTTCCCTTTCTCCCTTCCTCCTCCTTCCACCCTCCCTCTCCATCTTTCTACTGAGCCCATCCTGTGGCTCCAAACTGAAGACTGTAGAGAGGAATGAACAGATCCTTCTTGCCTGGCATGTGCACTTTGTAATAGAAGTTGGTGAGAAGTCTGAGGGCCAGTTCTATGGCACAGTGGGTTAAGCTGTTGCCTGAAGTACCTGCATCCCATATGGCACCAGCTTGAGTCCCGACTTCTCCACTTCTGACTTTTCATGTAGCAAAGTTTTCTTCTGGTTCATGGAAAATGGAAATTAATGGTTAACACAGAACACCTCAGATGTACTCAGGGAAGTAAGTTAACAGTTCTAAAAACCTGTTGGGTTATTGCAACTTCTATATTTCAGTGAATTTATTGCTATGAATTATTTCTTTGGTAGGTTTTAAGTTAATCTGATTCTACTTACTTTTACTGGTACAGTTTCATATAAAATATTTTCCATTGTGGTATTTGTAGCACCTTATGATTTCCTGTTAGGTTATGTACCATTGTACTGTAGCAGTGAGTCGATTATAAAATTGGCTGGCAATTTGTTTGGAAATAAAATGAGACTGAGGTCCTCTCCTGTAGAGGTGTCCCTGAAAATTCCAGAGGTCTGCAGGGGACCTATGCAAGGTTACCAACCTCTCTCTCTAGATGTTGGTCCAAGATACACTGGGATCACTGTGATCAATTGGAAAGTGTATCTGTTTGGATTTAAATAAAAATTATCTTTTAATCTCATGGTTTTATATGTTTTTTTTTCTTGAATTAAGGTATATTTTCCATTACTGACATCAAAATAGGAATTTGAATGAATACATTGATAATAAATCAGATTACGTGAAAAAACTAAAATGTCTGTATTGCTGTGTTTTATATAGATGAAACTGACAGTTTGATTTCAACATTTGCATCTTAGAATGGAAATATTTTACAAAGTTTTTGATAACCTTTGCTTCTGTGTTGGATTTGACTTCCCCATCTCACCAAATATAATTTATTATTTAAAAAAATAATTGCTGGCCTCTGCAGAATTAGCAGGTCTTGGCCAAGGTGAGGGATTAGAATGACTTTTCAAGGCATGATAATGTCTGTTTGAAAAAAAAAAGAAAAAGAAAAAAAAAATGTTTCAACTAGGGCTTAAGACTAATTCCAGCTACTAAGGAGATAAAAATGACGCTAAAGAAGAAGATTTGGGTTTGTTTTATATGTGCATGTTAACTTGCTTTGAGATCATCATTTTGTATTTTAAGGTATTCTCAGTTGAAGTAAGATGTTTCTCATTTGAAAGGGCACAGGGCCTTACTCCAAGAGATTAAAACTGGAATGCTTTTTACAACAGGAATAATGACAGCTCACCTGGCTGTAGCTTGTGGTCAGAGCAAGAAGGGGTGGTTTGTACTTTTTAGACTACAATACAGAGGAAGAATAATAACAGAAAATAATAGGACAAGGTTGAAAGTGAAAGTGTCCCGTATGAGAATAGTTACTGATATGAGTGATTAGAAAAGGGAAAAGAAATCTGGAAGGCATACTCTGGTAGTGGGAGAGAAGTTGAGAGTAAAGAAAAAAGCATGTTTGAGGGTGCAAATTATAACCTCTGACAACTTAGAAAACTTAGTACTTTTGTAATTGGTAATAAAGGGTCACAGTGACATCAGAGCAGCTCTAAAAATTCCTAGAAACACGTGTAAAACTTTCATGTGTTTCTAAGTTTTCATTTGGTGTACATATATTTTCTCCTGTTCCTTGTGTTGTCAGTTATGTCAAATTTGAAGACAACTCTGCACAAGTACTTCATCAGTTTGGGTCAAATATTGTTGCTTGTTTATTTTGTGATAATCTGTTAGCCATGTAAAATGGTTCAGTATGGGTGTCTTAGAGTGTGTCACCTTTGAATTTTTCTCTAAAATTCTCAGGAGACATCAATTATTTGTTTTTGTATTTTGTAAGTCTATATTAAATGTCACTTAAATGTGAACGCACTGACACCTATGAAAAGTAGTCCCCAAAGCAAACCAAAACTGTTGTCAGTGATCATAGCCTAATTATGAATGCGAATATGTTGTTTGTTTTTCAGAAAGCCAGAAACAAAGGGGGGAAAACAATCACACCATTCTACAACTCAAGCAGAAAGCATCCCTCCTCTTAAACACAAGACATTCCATAGTAGCAGTAATAAGAAGAAAGCACCCTTGGCCCCTGTCCAAGGGCCTGCTGAGAGGGAGCAGCAAATGGCCCGCCCAGCATGTGGCTGTGCAGAAGCTCCAGGGTGACACATGCCTCACACAACGGTCACAATGCGAGGGGTCAGGGGTCATGTTCAAGAGCAGGGTGTTGCTGCCTGAAGCTGAGGAAGCAGAGGTGGCCCCTGCGTGCTCCGTGTGTGGGTCTGTGTACTCCTTTCCCGTCAAAGCTGGCCCAGCGCAGCCAAAAAAGCGGTTCCTTGGCAGGGCTTAATGGCAGGATGATGTAGTCTGTTGTGACTAGTGCATTCCTTTCAGGTTAAACTAGGGAAATGGCATTGTGTTAAAATTCCAAGTCGCATGAATGTTTTATTGCCACAGTGCATTTAGCCCTCCAGGGGAGTGTGTGTGGCGGCGGAGGGGGTGGGGGTGACTATCAGAAGAACACTTCCCTTGGAAAATTTTACCCACCAGCGTGAAGCTGATTTGCTGTGATGGTCACTTAGAAGGGTTTCGCTTTTTCCTAAACTCTGGCTGTTTAAAGACTTCAAGTCTGGACAATTAACAGCTGAAGAAAATATGACAAGACACACGCAAAAGAGGTTGGGAGAGAGAGAGGAGGAATTGGCAAGCAAGGAGCTGAGCAGTCTTCTTGTGCGAACTGCCCGGCGAGGGCCCCCCTCCGTCCCTGTCCCCCCTTGTCCGGGCTGTGTTTTGTTGTCTGCCTGAAGGCCAGGACTCATCTCTTAACCTTGCTTCGCTGGCGGGAGGCTGCTGCACATGGTACCGTATGTTACCATTACTACTCCCTCATTCCTTTCCCCTGGCTGCTTCCCTTTTTTTTTTTTTTAAATCATTTCTCTATAATAACGGTTTATATTAGTCAGAGTGATACAATTTTGGAATGCAGAAGGTCCGAGTTTAAAACAAAACAAACTTAAGCTTTCTGTGTTTTCTTCTTGGCATTGAGAAAGGGTGAAGTGAACCCTTGTAATTCACTTGCGACCTGAGGTTTCCAGTATGATTTGAAACTAGGAATTCTGGAAATGGGGCACTTGAAAGATGCTAGTCGTCTGGGCTTGGAGCTCCTAAAGGAACGTTGTTGTGAAATCACACAAGTGTCTCCAGCTTCTTAGGGTGTTCTCAGGCTTTGCAGTTGACTGAGGTATGCGTTTAACAGAGTGCCCCCACCAGGCCCTTAGCCCTCCCTGATGGAAATCCTAGCCGTCTCATTCACGCTGTGGTTGTGTTAGTGGTCCAGTTCCTGACTTTCATTGTAATTGTGCATATTACATATATTGCTCCAGATTGTTTCACATTTTGATGGGACTCAGGTTAATTTAGAACATATTAAAGTGTGGATTATGGAACAAATTTCTGATTTTGTTTGTGCTTTTTTTTTTTTTTTTTTTTTTTTTTTTTTTTTTTGACAGGCAGAGTTAGACAGTGAGAAAGAGAGACAGAAAGGTCTTCCTTCCGTTGGTTCACCCCCTAAATGGCCGCTATGGCCCGGTGCCCTGTGCCGATCTGAAGCCAGGAGCCAGGTGCTTCCTCCTGGTCTCCCATGCAGGTGCAGGGCCCAAGCACTTGGGCCATCCTCCACTGCCTTCCCAGGCCACAGCAGATAGCTGGACTGAAAGAGGAGCAGCCAGGACAGAACCCAGAGTACTGGCGCCACAGGTGGAGGATTAGCCTAGTGAGCCGAGGCACTGGCCTGTTTGTGCTTTTATAATATATCCATGTGTTCAATTTTTTTGCTCAATCTATAGGAGAAATATATCTTATGGTTACCTAAGGAAAGATACAATACATTTCCATTTTGGTTTCAACTACCATTCTAGTTCTCTTCACTTTCAAACTTAATACTTACCTTCATGTTGATTTTTTTTCAAAGATTTATTTAATATTATTTATTTGAAAGGCAGAAGGCAGAGTTACAGAGAGGCAGAGGCAGAGAGAGAGGTCTTCCATCCACTGATTTACTCCCCAGATGGCTGTAATGGCCAGAGCTCCACTGATCCGAAGCTAGGAGCCTGGAGCTTCTTCCTAGTCTCCCATTTGGGTGCAGGGACCCAAGCACTTGGGCCATCTTCTACTGCTTTCCCAGGCTATAGCATAGAGCTGGATTGGAACTAGAGCAGCCAGGGCTCAAACTGGTGCCCATATGGGATGCCAGCACTGAAGGCGGCGGCTTTACCCACTATGCCACAGTGCTGGCTCCATCTTCATGTTCTTGAGAGATGCCACTTGCTTTTCTTTTATAAAACACATCTACATATATGTAGTTGCATATGTGTATGCATCTGCCCAGGTATAGGTACGTGCAGACTTTGGGAACTGCCAAGCAGTTAAGAAAAAAACCAGAGGTCCTAAACTAAGATGATTTTCAGTTGATTATTTACCACTGTTTTTTAAAAAAGATTTTATGTATTTATTTGAGAGGTAGAGTTACAGACAGTGAGAGGGCGAGATAGAAAGGTCTTTCCATCCGTTGGTTCACTCTCCAAATGGCTGCAACGGCTGTAGCTGAACCGAACCGAAGCCAGGAGCCAGGTGCTTCTTCCTGGTCTCCCATATGGGGTGCAAGGGTCTAAGGACTTGGGCCATCTTCTACTGCTTTCCCAGGCCATAGCAGAGAGCTGGATTGGAAGAGGGACTAGAACCTGTGTCCATATGGGATGCTGGCACCACATGTGGATTAACCTACTGTGCCATGGCGCTGGCCCCGATTATTTACCACTTTTGAAAGTGTTATGAGGCCGGTGCCGTGGCTCAATAGACTAATCCGCCACCTTGCGGCGCCGGCACACCGGGTTCTAGTCCCGGTCGGGGTGCCGGATTCTGTCCCGGTTGCCCCTCTTCCAGGCCAGCTCTCTGCTGTGGCCAGGGAGTGTAGTGGAGGATGGCCCAAGTGCTTGGGTCCTGCACCCCATGGGAGACCAGGATAAGTATCTGGCTCCTGCCATCGGATCAGCAAGGTGTGCCGGCCACAGCGGCCATTGGAGGGTGAACCAACGGCAAAGGAAGACCTTTCTCTCTGTCTCTCTCACTGTCCACGATGCCTGTCAAAAAAAAAAAAAAAAAGTATTATGTAACAGAAGTTTGACTCAAGTTTATAGCACAGAAAATTAAACCCTGAGCGGGTTGGTATGCCCTGTCTCTATGGAGTTGTAAGTACATGAGTTGATTTTTTTTGAGTTACACCTACAGAGTTTAACTTGGTAAGTTGTGTTTTTATGATGGCTTGTTCTTTTTAAACAGATCTGTTGACATTGTTCATGGGAAATCTTATACCAACAAGTAGTCAACTCTATAGCAAAATCAAGATTTATGTATGGGTTCAACTTAAAATCTTAGGCAAGTTCATTAGGTAGTTTCTTTGACATTCTAGAGTAACTCACCTGAATTGTTTCTTTTTACTCTGTTGAGTCTGGGAGTGTAATGATGAGAATTTTCTTTGGATGATATTTGCTTTTGTAAGCTTTAAATTGTGATTTTTTTTTTCAGAAAAATGTTACTTTGTGCTGGAATTTTGTTTTTCACTTACAGTCAATTTCAATGTTAATTCTTTTTCCTAAATAGTAGAAAAACTAAGTGTCAGACTAAGAAAAAAAACTATCATGTATGTTTAGATTAGCTAAAAATACACTTAGGATCAGGTGTTTAGCCTAGTGGTTAAGACACCTGTGTCCCACAATGCAGTTCTGGGTTTGATTTCTAGCTCTGCCTCCTGACTCTGGCTTCTTGCTGAGGCAGACCCTGAGGCAGAGGTACTGGCTCAAGTAGTTGGGTTTCTACCCCCTGCTTGGGAGACCTGGCTTCAATTCTCTGTTCCCAGCTTCAGCCCCAGCCTTTGCAGGCGGTTGAGGAGTGAACCAGAAGATTGGCGCTCTCCATGTGTTTTTCCATGTCTCTCAAATAAATAAATACATAAATATTTTTAAAAATATCATTCTGGTCGTAGAAGCAGTTGAAATTATGTTCAAACCTTTCTAGTTGATTAAATAAACTTTAAATAAAAGTTTCCTTTTATAATCCAAGAAGAAAAGAGTAGAATTACTTCAGTATCAGATCTCCTTAATTAGAGCATTTCAGCTGAGTTGTGTTTGTTTTCCTTCAAGTAAAATTTTCTTTAAAATCATCAACACTTCTCATTTCAGCATCTTTCTGTTCCCATTGTGCCAGCACCAGTGTTTGGCATTAGAGATGGGGCAGGGTGTAGGAGTTTAGTCTTGAGTCCCTTGTATGATACTGCCATGAAGTGACTTGACTAAGTCCCTTTATCCCTGACTTTAAAAGCTTTAGAGTTTGGACGATGGCACAAGACAGCACAGGGGGAGCTGTGGCCCCTTCCTGGAGCTGGGCTGTAGCTTGCTCTGCAGTTCTTTCCTGTTGGGAAGCTTGGACTTTTGGAAACAGTGAGGATAGGGAGTAGATGGAGTAAGTTGAAATATCTTAATTTCTTCATTTATCTATAGGAAAGAAGGTAAATAAGCCATCAGTAGAAATCTTTATGTTTGAGAAACTCATTCCTTAGTCTGTGAGTTTGGCACTCTGCAAATCTTACCAGGTTGGCCTTCAGGTATGCCCGAGTGGTACTATTTCTGTGATATCATTATGGCCACGGTAGAGCAGAAGCCAAGTCCTGCTTACCTTTGGATCATTAGTTCTATTCATTTGCTTGAAATGAAGCCTCCTGGCTTATTAGTACTCAATGGTATGAGCTTGAAACGTGATTTTGCAAGGAAGGCTCCAGCTTGTGCGCTGGCTTTGTAAAATTCACCTGTAATCATGGTATTAAAATCGTACTAAGCTAATAGTGTTTATGCCTTTATCGAATTGAACAAAAAAAGCATCAAGCAAGGTGGATGTATATGGAGTCTTCAAAACTGTGAAAAATATGTATTATCAGAAAAGTATGCATGGATTTTAAAATATTTTTGCAGCAAAATAAACTTATCTTTTAATTCAATTTCCATGAACTTTTTGAAGCACCCTCATATATAGGGGCAGTAACAATCATCTTCTGCAGTCTTATACAAGTTCTTCAGGGTAGTTAAGGACTAAGGGACTTTGCTGAGCAAAATGGTGTGCTCCTTTTAATTTCACCCTCCCAATTATATCTATATTTATAAAAAAATAAAGGTGTTCTCATGTTGTAGTACACTTATGTTGTCATAGATGGTCCTAGATTAACTTTGCTATTTTGCCTAACATCTAGTTTTTTTTTTTAGCCAGTCCAACTTTGAAATACAGCATGTTAAGATCTAAAATAAATATTTGGTGTGGTATTTACTTTGGCCTGTTAGTTAAGAATAACAGAATAAGGATTGATAACTAATTATTTCATGGCTACCTTTTAGCATACATAATGTGTCTGGTGTGGTAACGGGTAGCTTCATTATTATTATTTATGCTTTTAGAAGCATTCAGGTAGGATACCCTTTTCATTTTACAGAAGAGAAAATAGAAGTCCCAAAGCTCTTGTTTTTTTCCTGATGCTTGCTTGCTTTTTTTTTCTCTCTCTCTCTCTCTTTCTTTCTTTCTTTTTTTTTTTTTTGTGTGTGTGTGTGTTTATTTATTTATTTATTTGAAAGGCAGAGTTAGAGAGGGTGAGACAGAGATCTGCCATCCGCTGGTTCATTTCCCAGGTAGCCGCAGTGGTCAGGGCTGGGCCATTCTGGGCTGGGCCAGGCTGAAGCCAGGAGCCAGAAACTCCATCTGGGTCTCCCATGTAGATGGCATGGGCCAAGCACTTACTTGGACCATCTTCCGTTGCTTTT